CTCTCTCTCTCTCTCTCTCTCTCTCTCTCTCTCTCTCTCTCTCTCTCTCTCTCTCTCTCTCTCTCTCTCTCTCTCTCTCTCTTCAGAGGATATGGTCACCCTCAAACCTCATACTCCCACGCTAAGCTATGGTGCATACACACCTTCTATCCTAGCTATGGCTACTCTCACCCTCTATCTGCCGCCTTGCAGCGCTGGCTCACAAGCAGCGCCACCCCAGCCATAAAATTGCGCAAGGCAGAATTAATCACAACGTGGGGAGGCCAAGTATTTGGAGCTTCCGGATACTCGGTGTTCGGGTTGCGTGTGTTTGGCTTCTGTACCCGGGTTGGGCGTGACTGTTGAATTTCCTAGCGCCCGCATCAACATCTAGAGCTCCTGGGCACCTCGACTTGAATGCTGAGCCCAGCCCTACTGGCCGAAGGACTTCCTAAAGCCTCTTTCAAGGATGTAGGACAAGGATTGAACCCTAGAACCTCGAGTTGGCAAAAGCTGCGACCCTAGGACTAGTTCTGTGCGGATTTGACCTTGGTTCCTTGCACATGGTCCTGTCATTTCTTATCGCGTTCAAAATTTTCTATTTTTATTTCTTCTTTTCCTCGTTTCTGTGGCATGATTAAAACAGGCAAGGATCAAGCCTCATCACAGGGTCCTGGAGATAGGTTTTGGGTGGGGGAGTCTGTCGATGGAGATCGTACGGCGAGCAGGCTGCCATGTCACCGGTATCACACTGTCACGGCGGCAATTGGAGTTGGCAGAGAAGCGTGTTCGCGCCGCAGGACTACAGGTATGTCGGCACGAGGCAGAATGTGAAATATCATAAAAATCCACGATCAAGCTTTGGTTCATATGTAAGCTGAAAAGGGTGTATAATGACCGTTGCCGACCTCCGCCTGCAGAAATCAGTCTGAGTGTTCTGCTCGTCTTGGTGTTTGGCTGCGTTTTACAGTCGTTTGAACACTTTCTGAGTTTCCCGTGCGTGTGCAGAAAAGAAGTTGCCGTCTTTGTCAAATTTTTTGTGTAGTCTTTGAAGTGTTACTCTGAGATCTCTTCTTTAGAGTTCTTCTGTGCTTTTGCAAGGAAGATGAGCAATAATTAACTTCAGAAATCAAACAGCATCATACACATGAGACCAGATAGTCGTGACCTCGAACCAATAGCAGAATTGCATCACGAGTTTCACCAAAAAAGAGCACCCCAAAAGCTCATAATTGACAATGCTGGAATAGTCTCATCATCATCAACGAAGAACCAATGTTGATATCCTATCTGGCGCTCGGCGCCCAGACTACAGATGGCAGATCCTATCTAGCCTACTCTACGATGCCGCTGATGACGTCAACAGCTCCCCGAAGTACGAGCAGATCTCGGACAATGTCGTATGCTTCAAGCACCAGGTATGTCTCTCGTATCACTCACGACCTCGTTCCCCAACTCACAGATGCCACATGCACCCAAGGACCACCATGCGCCCCATCCAGCATACAGCAGCGTAGCTCGGCTATGGCTGCCTGCTCCTTCCAGCTCGCCCGTGAGCACGTGAGCCTGGCCAGCGTTAGCGCAGCAGCGCTTGCGCAGCATGCAGCCAGTGCCTGAATCTCCAATGCGTGGGCAGGCCCTTTCCTAAATGGAAACGGCCTGCCTGCCTTGCGTGCAGCCTGGCTGCGCTGAGCCCCTGCCCAGAAGCTTCTGGTAGGCCCAGAGAGGCTGAGCCCCAGACCAAATGGATCAGGCCCAAGGCCGGTGACAGTTACCCGCGCCCAACTGCCCGCAGCCTGAGTTGGGTCCATGCTGCGTATCTCGCCCAGGGCCTGACTCAGCTGCGTTTGATAAAGGAGGCCAGGGCCTGGGCGCTTTCAACTAACTGGCGCTGCGCAACTGCCTGAATTTTCCCCAGTTGCGAAGTAGTCCAAAGTAGGCCTCTCGGGGTCTGTCGAGCCTGCCTTCACGTAGGGCGGCCGACACTGTTGCAAATAGGGGCCCAGTAGGGCTTATCGAGGCGGTGCGCCTCGCACTTTTCTCTATCTTTTCTCTCCTGCACTTTTTCAAATGTATTTGGCTGCAGTTATGGCCAGCCGTGTGTGTATCTGACTGCAATTACGTCCGGACCTGACTAGAAAATGTCCAGTGCGAGTATGCTCTGAGTTTTGAGAAGCAGGGGAACTTCATGAATGGGTATGTTGATTGTTCATAGCATGACTGAACAATCAAGAATCCCAGTATGCATCTGTTTAAATGTCCAAGAAAAAGAACAAAAAGCAACGAGTTCAATGCCCTCCGGGGACATCCATTAAAATTGGAACGATACAGAGAAGATTCGCATGGCCCAAAGCAAAGAAAGGAAGAAGGGAAAAAAAGCAAACAAGCATTCAAGAACAAGCGGATTCTTTGAAACGGGCCTAGCTCAGTCGGTACATCCACAAACTGGTGAAATGCAGAGCGAAGTTCAAATCCTGATACCATCGGATGACCAGAATAAAACCATTCTGAATTACCTGGGGGCGGTCAGTTCAATGATGATATCTCAAGGCCAATGACAGATTTTTATGAAGAAATTCAAGAAAGGAAGAAAAGGAAAAAAAACAAGCGTCCAAGAACAAACGGATTCGTTAAAATAAAAAGCGGAATGGCAGAAATTTCTGAAGCGTTACTTGGCTCTTCCCCCAAACAGAACGCACACTGATCATGAAGGCGTTCAAGTTTTTTTTGTTTTGTTTTAAGTTTTAACCCTTGTGCAGGGCCATGCTAATCTTCTCTGTATGGTTTCAATTTTAACGGATGTCGGGAAGGACCAAAGGAAATGAAGTTATGTTTCCGTCCAATGCAGTCATGATGAGCGTGCATTGTATTCTAGGCGAAGAAAGAGAATCAAAGTTGGAAAATGAACATCAGTCAAAACCTCTGCCTGTCCACTTTCAAAAGGGGAAAGTGATTGGCAAAGTAATTTTTTCAAAAATTTTGACTTTTTTTCTTGTTTTTTGTTTCTCTGTTTCTAAGCCCTGCATGATTATACTGTGGGCGGCAGTAGGCGTAAATCGTGTTTTTTTGTTCTGGGCCAATGGTCATACATTTCCCAGAGGGGCTGAAGGGGTTAGCTCTCGACCCCCCAAAAGAGGCAAAAGAAATGCCACTCACACATTCTTCCACCACGTAATGCTCTGCCCACCTGCCAGCCCTCATGGAGGCTTTTCTTTGGTGTGTGAGGTTGGCATGTTATCATCCGGATATTTACTTAGTACTAGTTAGTAGTGACTGAGTATCATGCTGAAAACAACACCCAATAATTTGTATTCCTTGCTGGCGGATTCATGCAGGATAAAATTGACTTCAAGCTTGTTGACTATAGGAATTTACCTGGAATTGGCTGCTTTGACCGCATCCTATCATGGTAACTTCTTCTTTCTCCCTTTTCTTCGATCTCTGTTCTTCGTTCTTAGTTCTTCGTTCTTCGTTCTTCGTTTTTCGTTCTTCGTTTCGTTTTTCGTTCTTCGTTCTTTGTTTTCGTTCATCGTTTTTTGTCCTTCGTCCTTCGTTCTTTCAACTTGTCCGTTCTCCGTTCTTCGTTCTTCGTTCTCTGTTCTTCGTTCTTTGCTCTTCGTTCTTCGTTCTTCATTCTTCGTTCTTCGTTCTTCGTTCTTCGTTCTTCGTTCTTCGTTCTTTGTTCTTCGTTCTTCATTCTTTGTTCGTTGTTCGTCGTTCTTCGTTATTTGTTCGTCATTCTCCGTTCTTTGTTCTCCGTTCTTTGTTCTCCGTTCTTTGTTCTTTGTTCTTTGTTCTTCGTTCTTCGTTCTTCGTTCTTCATTCTTCGTTCTTCGTTCTTCGTTTTTCGTTCCTCGTTCCTCGTTCCTCGTTCCTCGTTCTTCGTTCTTCGTTCTTCGTTCTTCGTTCTTTGTTCTTCTCCTCCCCCTCCTCATCCTTTTAATCCTCGTCTTCATCTCCTCCTTGTGCTCTTTGTCCTTCTTTCCTTCTCCTTTTTTTCTTTTTGGTTTTCCTTTTCTTCCTTGGGTTTTCTCTCTTTTTCATGGGTCCTTTTCTTATTTCTCTCTCCTCCTCCCTCTCCTCCTCCTGGCCTTTCTTCTTCCTATCTCCTGACCATCCTGGCGCGCTTGCTTTGCCTGTCCTCTGCATCCTCCTCCTTGTTTTCTCCTTGTCCTCACTTCCTCCCGCTTACCCTTCTTGCACTGTATTCTGGTGGCTGTTTTTGTCTATCTGCTGGTGGTGAAGCTCTGCACTTCTTTTCTGCTTGCTCGTTTGGGTCTTCAGCTTCAGATTCGCTGCTTGCTGTGGCAATGGTTTTTGACTGAGCAATGGAATCCAGGGGCAATGAGGAAAAAGGATGGAAGTTTTGTGATGCCTCTTTGTTATTCAGTTTGGATGTTACAAAACTGGAGAAAAGAAAACGAGGAAAACGTTTCCGTATTCACGTGAGGACCTTTTCAACTTCTCTGTGGATCTAATTGCGGCCAGGTGCATCCAGGCCTGCTTGGAAAAGCAGTCATAGTACTGCCATACACATTCAAGGAAGTTCTAGTTTGAGTATGCCCTGAGGGTGGGTGACTCGTCCAATCAAATCCCCTGCCCGACAGGATTTTATCACGAAAAGCTGGCACTTCTTTGCAGGTAAATTCTCGTAATTCGTTTGCAACCAGCAGGGTCACTCGTCTCGGCGTGTATTGAGGTAATCTCCTTTTTGAACAAAAGGGCACAAGAGTTTTGGCATCATGTGTTCGACAGGTAGGGCAACTTTGTTCGTTTCTTGAGATCTTGGTTTTTTCTTGACTATTCTGTGAGGGTGTGTTCCTCCTCCTTCTGTCCTCCCCTCGTCTGTGTCTTCAGGAAGCACAAAGCCACTGGCGTGACGATGCCTCCCATGCTTTGTGTCATGCATCTCCACGAAAATGCAGCGCAAGGAGGGAAGTGCTATGCATGCCGAAATCCAGCAGCACAAGGAGGGAGGGCTCATGCATGCATGCCAAAATTCAGTCAATTTTCATCGTCAATTGGCGTTCAACCTTGCACGCATGTTGGATGACAAAGATGCAGTGAGTTTGTTTTGTTCGCCCCTCTGTGTAGACCGAAGGCCACGGCTCTTGCCCGGGTTCACTATAATAGTACGACACTACATACAAACAAAGGTATCTATCGTACGTACACTCATAAGTCATTGGTATTTTTTTATATTATTAATTAGTAGTAGCTCCACGTAAAGTCTCTGAGGATTCTACACAGACATATAAATTCAGTCAATGTTCATCGTCAATTGGCGTTCAACCTTGCACGCATGTTGGATGACAAAGATGCAGCCAGAAGTTGGCCATAGGAGGAGGGCGGCGATGGCCAACATTCCCGAGGAAACCAGAGCAAAAAAAAGCACAACAAAGCAGAATAACTTCCAAGTATTGTATGGCACTGCAGTATGTGGTGTTCGCCTTTCATAAAAAAAATTAGCAATGCGAGGACTCATGTGTAAAGATCATGACACTATAGTCCTTATTTGCAGAAAGGAAAATCTTCAATGAAAGTGCAGGGAAAGGACGAGGAGGAGGAGGAAGAGAGAGATCGGGAGGGGGAAGAGAGGAGGAGGAGGAGAAGGAGGAAGATCAGGAGGAAAGATGGAAGAGGAACAATAATCTACAATAATAGTAATAAGAACAAGAATAATATAATAATAACAACAAAACAGTAAGAAGAAGAAGAAGGAAGGAGAGGTATGGTTGACCGTGCTGTTGTGTGTTTGGTATTGACTGGCACAGTGAAATGCTGGAGGCAGTTGGACACGAGTACTATGGAACCTTCTTTCAGAACTGCGATCGACTGCTTGCACCGAATGGTCTCCTCGTTGTACAGGTCAGAAACCTCAACCCTATTCATGTTTGCAGTAATGATATTGGCGTGCTTGGCGCGTTGAACATGTGAGTGCACAGAGACACACACACACACTCCCCCCTTTACTCTGCCTCCTTTCATAGCATGCAAGCAGGCCATTAAGGCATACGGGGATGTGGACAGCTGGCGCTCAACGACAATCAACGTCGCCAGCCTTAGAGAGGCGTAGTAAAAGGGGAGCTGCAAGAAGAAATAAAAGGGGTACCCAAAAGGAAGACAAAAGTAAAGATAGTCAAGAAAGAGATATAACGGATCTATTGTGATCCATGTTTTACTTGCTATAGAGGTAAAACTGTTTCATTGTTGGTTTGGCTCATCTCACAAGTTTGCTTCATTGCCTGCAAAAAGGCTACAATAGAGGTAAAGCTGCTTTGATTTTGGATCTACTCGTCTGGTTGGAACAGGGCTGGTGTGGTAAAAATGTAAAACACACACACACATACACACGCACATGCACACACACACACACACACACACACACACACACACACACACACACATACACANACACACACACACACAGACACACACACACACACACACACACACAGAGAGAGAGAGAGAGAGAGAGAGAGAGAGAGAGAGAGAGAGAGAGAGAGAGAGAGAGAGAGAGAGCTTGGAGTAGAGGTTTCAATTTTCAATCAGACGGGGAAGAAAATCCGAAGGAAACGGAGGAGGAGATAACAGCTAGCTACCCTCACCCAGTTCCACCTGTTTGAACTTCGAAGATAGCAGACCTCATCAGCCAGGCGAACATGAAATCTTCATCCCAAATGTCACCAGCCTTTACACCATCCCAATGACCCATGTTGGCAAGTGGGTGTAACATGATTGAGACAACTCAAGACCTTGGATCACTTGTATGGACAGAAAGAAGGTACTTTTGAGATATTCCTTGCAGGCTTCCACCACAACTTTGCAAGGCACCCACCCAGTAGAGGTCAGTTCACAACCAACACAAACCCTCTTGACTACCGTCTTCACTCGAACAGAGCGCCTCATCATTATATCTGTATTTGGGCAACTTTCAGTCTGAATACAGCAATAATGACCGGGGGTTCTATTCACGTGAAGTGGTGTCATGCATGTGTTGACCGGACTGAAATCAGACTCGACCAGGCTATGATTCCATGGACACGGGAAGTGACAATGTTGAAGTCTCTTGTCGATAAATGCCCTCTTCTCGCCTCCAAAGAATCAACACACACGTTGCACACAAAAAAAGATATTCAATACAATAATGATAGTAACAGGTTTTGACTCTCGCTGGTCTCTCTACCGGCTGTGTTTGACTGCCTATTTTTCTCCTAGCCTATCCTACGCTACCCCATCTGCCATGCCGCAGAGTCCTGTTCCACTCCTGCTGATGACCGCCTGAAGAGTCTGTCATGCTTGCGCTCTCCCTTGCTGTGCACTAGGTCACTATCTGCCAACCTCTGTCCCACAACCTTCCTTCCTTCCTTCATCCTCAGAGTGCTTCTCACAGCTATGGCGTCGACCTCCTTCCTCCGCTCCGGATAGCAATAGCGCTAGATGACGACACAGGGCTGATGCTCTCTTGGCAACCTGCATCCAAATGATGCTTTGACTTGCCCAACCTAGACGTATACACTGAGGCTGGGTCTTTCTTTGGCCGGTACATACTGCGTTCCAGACCCCTCTGGAGTCAGCCGTACCCTACCAGGCTCAGGCAGAAGTATCGGTTCCCTGTCTGGGCCTACCGCCCTGCCCGTCCTGCCGTGAGACCTGGGGACCTCACATCTTTGTGCATTCACTAAAATGGTTTCACAGGGAATCAGATGGGCGTCATCCTCCCGGTCATCATCATGTTTCACATCACCATTGTCCTGCTTACTGTCATCAATCTCATTCCCATCATCGTTGTGGTCGGTGTCACCACCACCACCACTACCACCATCGTCATCATCATCATCATATACATCATCATCATCATCATCATATACATCATCATCATCATCATATACATCATCATCATCATTGTCATTGTCAGCAGAAGGGCCATCATTATGGTCATCCTTAACCATCATATACCGTATCATCTTGGTGGTTTTTTCTCTCGTTATTGTTATTTTTTTCTACCCTCGTTCCCTTGGTGGACTGAGCCTTCTTTATTTATATTTTTTTTCTACCCTCTTTCCCTTGGTGGACTGCGCCTGCTGACTGACATGGCTTCTGCTAATGTGTCTAACCTAGGTTATCTCAACTCCCGAAGAGAGGTATGAGGAGTATCGAAAGAGCTCAGATTTCATAAAGGAGTATATCTTTCCAGGATCAACTTGCCCCAGTTTGACTGCCCTTGTGTCTGCCATGGAAGCCTCGTCATCATTCAGGTACTCTCTTCTTCTTTTCCCTGAAAACTGAAAACCCAGCCACATTTATTTTGTTCTCTCTCTAATTGCCATCATTTATCTTATTTTTTGCGTCTTTTAACTTTTGAGGTTTTAAGTTTACAGAACGGCTTTGATAAAGAATGCTGGACAGCAGCTGGAGTGTGTTGACTGAAATCCCTCTTCTGAGGGTGGGGATGGAAGGGAAAGGGGAAGGGGGAGTGGAAGGGAAGACGGGGGGAAGGGCGGGGGGAGGAGGGGGAGGAAGGGAAGGAGAGGGGGAGGAAGGGGGGAGGAAGGGGGGAGGAGGGGATGCGCTGAGGGGGCTGGTAGGAAGAACCTTTTAAAGGGAGCATGGTATAGTAAAACTTAGAAAACAAAAAAAAGACAAACAAATAATGGCACAAAAAGTCAATCCAATTTCAGTCAGATTCAATGTGAATCGTAGTCCAGATGCTTGTTGGTTTAGTGAGGGCAACAGTGCAAGTCACCGAATGAATTGCCCACTTTGGCATAGTCAAGTGGGACGTTGCAGATGTCCGCAACGAGACAGGCACGACTTATGTCATGCGTGGAGATGCATGAAAGACATCTGGAACGAGGAACTCATTCCAGGGACCATAGCCTGTTGTGAAAGGAGATCACTGGATTTATCCAGTCCTTGGAAGATCTCCGACCGTGTAAAGCTCGAGTACGTTGCGTACGTCGTTTTGATTCTCTACCATGACGAATTAATTTATTCATTGTAGTCATATGTGTGGTTTTGTTTTTTGTTAATTAAATTAATGCAACTGACAGGCTTCGGTATTGTGACCCGCCTGACCTGACCCTTTGATATGATAGGTATAATATCATATATATCCCTCACGGGATTTGAACCCGTGTCTTCGCCATGAGAAAGTGTTGTCCTATACCCCTAGACGAAAGGGACGAATGAATGTGCTTGTAGCTCAATTGGATAGACCTCACGGAGTATATCTTGTGTTGCATACCGTATAGGTGCAGACCAGAACAAGAACCGACCTTTCAATACAAGGTATAAGATAGCACAGCGGAAGGCTTAGATACCAGTGATCCGAACAATCAATGTTGTAATGCAGCCCTGAACATACATCATCATCATCGTTTCATAGTGTGAATGGGTCTGGCGCTCCACACAGGAAGACAGCGCCAGCCCAGATCATGCACAGACGAGGAGGAAGGGGATAGACGAAGAGGAGGGGGAAGATGGGAATGTCGTCAACACCAAGTCTTCGGCACAAGCCCAAATAGTCCCTCGTCGAACTGTCTGAATCCCAAATGTCAAGTCTGGAYCCAATGTCGTCAAGTCTCAAGTCACAACTCTATCTCTCTCTGTCGTAGTCTGAGAAGTCAGGTGGCGAGAGGGTGAGAAGAGAAAGGTGGACTTAGAGGAGGAAGAAGAAGAGCTCTCTCTCTCTCTGTGTCCAGTACTAACCTGTGAAGTTGGCGCCTTGATGCAGGTACCACGGAGATGGAGATGGAGCGATGGCGCCACAGGTAAGTAATACTGGCCTCCGCCAGTCTCTCTCCACTCTACGATCTACTACCTACCAGCGCCCAGCGCTGAAGACTAAGCTACAGCTATGGCGCCCAGCGCCGAAGACTACAGCTAGCGCTACCACTACTGCCTAGCGCTGAAGACTACTGCAGCGCTCCTCCTGAGTGCTGCGGCCGAATCCTGAAGACTACCTCTACCTACTGACACTACCTACCCGTGAAGTGCATGGGAACCTCCTATGTACTACGGGTGTGCCTCTTGAGCCTGCCGAAGGAAGGCAGGGGCTGCAGCTGCAGCTCCTGCTCGAGCACGTGAGGAACAGGCTATTTTGGGCCTGTTCCGCATCCCTGTTTCCGTGCCTGAGTCTTAGGGGCAGGTCGAAACAATGAGGGCCTGAAAATGGCCCTCCGTTTC